CGTACCAACGAGCGCACGGAGGACAGCTGGGTTGGTCTCACGCTTTTCTACCACGACAAGCCGGACGCTCATGCAGAAGGGGTGTACTATTTGGACACTCCGGAGGGGCTTGTACGACAGCCGATGACTTACGAAGAATGGATCAACGTGTCATCTGTGTATGACGCATGGCTGCAGGAGGCCAGGTACGAGCACGACGTGTTCGCACTCGTGATGAAGCAGAACGCGAAGGAGCTAGACCCACGTTACTTCGACCAGCACGAGAAGGCTAAGTTCGACGAGGCCGATGCCGCCGAGTGGCGGCAATGGATCGCCAACAACACGGTCGAGCTGGTCACCGAGGAAGAGGAGAGGAGCATTCCAAAGGACAAGATCATCTCGGTGCCCATGCGTTCGGTTCGCACGAACCGGGGACGAGGGCCGGAGCTGGAGGCGAAGTCTCGCTTGATCATCCCTGGCCATCTCGATCCGCAGCTTGGTCTATTCAGGACGGATTCGCCTACTACTTCCCCTTTGGCTGTGCTGGTGTGTGCGTCTATCACAATGGCGATGGATTGGACATTCGAGTGTTTCGACGTAGCGACTGCGTTCCTGTCCGGGCTGAAGCTGGAACGGGAGCTGTATGTGAGGGCTCCTAAGGACGGGCTTCAGCCGTCGACGGTGCTGGATGGCCAGCCGTGCGGCCTTATGCGTTGCTGCGCTTGCTGAAAGGGGCGTACGGTCTGACTGAGGCGCCTCGGTTGTGGTATCTCCGAGCCCGCCAGGTGTTGACGGACGAGGTCGGTTTCGTGGAGCTGCGCTGTGCTCGAGCTGTCTTCGTTTATCGAATGAAAGACAAGGTGATCGCTATGTTGACCTTGCACGTCGATGACGGCATGCTGTTTGGAGACCCACACGATCCCCAGTACCAGGAGGTGAAGGCGAACATCAACAGTCGCTTCAACATCAAGCACTGGAAGAAGGGCAACGACAAGGAGGCAATCGCCTATCTCGGTGAGGAGTGGTGGCGCCACCCTGATCACATCGAGATCAGCATGCACGAGTACATCGGCAAGCTGACGAAGCACCCCCTTGCAAGGGGTGACAACGAGGAGCGGGAGATGACTCCCGAGGAGCACCACGACTACCGGAGCTTGCTCCAGAAGGTGCGGTGGCCTGTCGCACGAGTGGTGCCACAACTCGCGCATAGTGTCTCGGCGCTCGCACAGAAGGATCCGAAAGGTCGGAGGTTGCTGCACCTGCGAGTGCTCAATGACATCATCGACCGGCTTCAGGACTACGACAAGAGAGGGGGGCGGACGGCGCGGCAGACTCGCCGGGTGGGGATCTGACGTGAGCGGGGGGTGTCGGGGGGTCCGGCGGGTGGGCGGTGAGGGGCGGTGTCCGGGTGGGCGGGGTTTTTTTGTTTTTTTGTTTTTGATTTTTTTTTTGGTTTTTTTTTGTTTTTTTTTTTTATGTTTTTTTTTTTTGTGTTGTTTTTTTTGTTTTTGGTTGTTTTTTTGTTCTGTTTTGGGGCTGGTTTTTTTTTTTTTTTAGTTCTGGTTTTTTTTTTTTTTTATGTTTGTATTTGCGTTTTATTTTGTTTTTTTTTAGTTGCTTTTTTTTTTTTTTTTTTTTTTTTTTTTTTCTTTTTTTTTTTTTTGTTTTTTGTTTTTATTATTTTTGGTTTTTTTTTTTTGCTTCTTTTTTTACTTTTTTTTTTTTTGCAGGTGCTCACGCTTATGGACGCTTCGTTTGCGAAGTAACCCGGCTGTAAGAGCCAGATGGGGTTTATGAGTATGATTACGGACACCCGAGTTTTGAAGGAGCTAACTGTATGCTGTCTAGTGGAGTTTCAGAGCAGTACTATTACACGAGTTGTTGGATCTACGATGGCCGCAGAGTCTGCGGCTATGTCCGTGGCTTTGGATCGGCAGCTTTACCTCAGGCTGCTGATTGAGGCAATCTTGTACGGGGAGCCGCCCTTGCAAGGGGACTGGAGGCTGGCGCTGAAGGTTCCAGGGGCGCTCGTGACGGATGCGAAGTCGCTCTACGATCACGCGTCCAAGATCGGGTCGATGCCGGTGTCTCGGCAGACCCTCATTGACTTGCTGGTGGCCAAGGATTTGATAGAGCAGGAGGCCATCAAGTTCAAGTGGCTGCCTAATAGCCACATGCTAGCGGATGTGTGGACAAAAGCCGTGCAGCCTAACGAGGTACTATCGCAGTTCCTCCGCAACGGCCTGTTCAGCATGGTGCCTACTGCTGAGCAAGAGGATGAGGAGGCACACCGTCTGCGGCTGCGCCGCGGACAGCGTGAGCGAGCCAAGGAGCGGAAGGCCCAGCGTCGGGTCGCCGTTCCAGGGCCTGCGAGCCCGAGAGGTCCTGATTGCAGCTGCTGACGGACCTAGTGAGAGCTACGGTGATGTATGCATATCCTTTGAGTTGATCGTCTGGAGTAGTGTATCCAGATATTCATATTCTTGTATTTATATTTGAGCCTCAGGCCGCACCTTGCTTGAGGTGTCTCATGCATATCTTTTGAGTTGACAGTCTGGATTGGTGAATCTAGACATTCATATTTATATTTCGAGCCTCAGGCCGCATCTGCTTGAGGTGTTTCGGCCCGTGGGCTGATATACATCATAATTGCGCGCAGCGTTGCCCTTTCAGAGGGAGCGGCATCGGGGCAGCATTGTACTCACCCAGTGTGAAGAGTGCACTCCCCTGCCCCTCTGCCGCCCGTGCCACCATGTGTGTATGTCGTACACGCTTGTCTTGTTTTGTGGCATGCACGCTGCCCGCCGCTGTTTTGGCCCTAGTCCTAGGGCCCTGGGACGCACCCGCAGTTGGACTGCCGCGCGGTCTTTGCTGAAAACAACTGCACTGACAGCGTGGCCTCGCAGGGGTTTCTGAGCGTCTCTGATCATCCTGGGGCGCCTGCAGGCTGCGGGGCGGCAACATAGTTCGGTACGGGCGACATGGGCACGAAGACCGACAGCAGCTCCTGCCCCTTTTGAGCAGGATTCGCTGTCGGTGTCGCAGCGGGCGGGGCCAATTTGAGGCAAAACAGGCGCCTGCCCGACAGCGGCCGCTGTCGGTTTTGGGCAGCACCTGCTGTTGGGCTGCGTACCCATGCTTTCCGTCAGCCCTTGCGGGCGTGCCGCAGGGTGGTTGCGGGCGCTGCCGCCGCATCGCTTGAGCCCGTCCCTGGCGTGCGAGAGCTGGCCAGGATCTCGGAGGCGGATCTGGCCGTGGCGGCGGGGGGGTCCCAGGAGGCCCGCGCCTGAGACACTGAGCCATCCTGGAGCGTCGTGGATCATCTCGATATTTTTTTTTTTTTTTTTTTTTTTTTTAAAAAAAAAAAAAAAAAAAAAAATAAAAAAACAAAAAAAAAATAAAAAAAAAAAAAAAAAAAAAAAAAAAAAAAAAAAAAAAACTGCGCTGTGAAAAAACACGACGGAAGGTTTTTCGCTAGTTTCGGCCTTCGGGGGCCCTCGCCGGGCCTCGGGACCGTCAAACAACGAGTCAGGGCGAAAAACGGGCCCCAGGGAACTGGTCCAGACCTCTGGGGGTCAACACGCTGACAATATCACGACGTCGGGGGTCTGGGATCCTCTCGAGAAGAAGCATGCACGAAGCCGAGTCATGCTCGGAGAGAGGACGCCCGAGCGATGGCAAGAGAAGGGCGGGAGGCCGATGCGATGCCTCCTCGTCTCGCCGCCGCCGCCGCCGCCGCACCGTCGGAGCGCGCGACCCGGATCCGCTCAAGACCTGCCCCCGGCGCTCCCACATTGGACTCACAGGGCGTGGTCTCGCCAATGCCCGTCGGCCCAGAACCCCACAATCCGGGCGAAGGGAACTATGCACATGCACCGATCCTGGCAAGGCCCATCCTTGACCCAGGATCGGTGCATATGCCTTCCTGGCCAAGGTAGGAGGGCGTATGCACCGATCCTGGGCTCAGGATGGGCCTGGCCAGAATCGGTGCATGTGCATAGTTCTTTTTCCTCTAACAATCTGGGCGCAGAGGGGCGAGTGCCGTCCCCCCTCCATGGCGATTCCCGCTCGGGGCACCCAAGCACCGCGTCTGCAACCGCGCGGTGGCCCCGGGGCGCTCGAACACAACAGGAGCCTGGGAGCGTTCGACCGTTCGCGCCGAGATTGTTGGGACGCGGCCCGCCCCGACCGGCTTCCCGGGCCGCGCCTCCAGCCGCCGCCGGAACCTCCAAAAGGACCGCCCAGGGATTCCATCCTCCGAAGCGCCAGCGCCGCCGCCGCCATCGCCCGCCGCCGTCCCTGAGATCCGACGTCGCGGAAAAATGGAGGCGCAGCAGAAGAGGTCGACTGGAGCCCTACCAGGGGCTCCCACGAGGGCGCGAAGTTATTCGCGCTTCGCGCTTCGCGGTCCTCGATCCTTCTCCCCCTCCTCCTCGTCCTCCTGTTCTCCCTTTGGGGGGCGGCGCGAGAGCGCGAAGTTATTCGCGCTTCGGGCTTCGCGGAGCGCGAAGCGCGAAGTTGGGAGCCCTTGCCTACGGTGAGGAGCTCTGGTTCAGCCCACCGCGCCTTCGGCGCGACGCGCTGTGCAGTTCCCGGTCCCCAGGCGTCCACGTCCCGAGCCCTTCCCGGCCTCCCGCCCCGCGGAGCGGAGCAGCACGCGACCCGCTTGCAGGGGATAGCGTCTCGCCGGGGCCGCCGCGGCGACACTCCTCCTCCTCCTCCTCCTCCTCCTCCTCCTCCCCCGCCGCCGCCTCCTCCTCCTCCTCCTCCTCCTCCTCCTCCTCCTCCTCCTCCTCCTCCTCCCCCTCCTCCTCCTCCTTCCGTAGCCATTTTGGCTCAAGGTGCTCTTTGGCTCAGGCGCCTTTCCGCAAGGCGCAGCACTTACAGCACTCTCCCCCCAGCGAAGAGCTATCATGGCCGCCTTCCTGCGCCGTGGCCGCGGCCTCCTCCGGGGGGCCGCCGCACCGTCGACGGCGCGGCTGGGCTCGACGAGCACGGTGCAGTCTACCACGATGAAGGCCATGCCGAACGTCCTCGCGGGCACGCCCAGCTCGAAGAGCCCCCACGCGGTCGTGGATTGCAGGTCGATCAACGGCGGGAAGCAGCTTGTCGTCGAATTCGCGGATAACACGCGTTACGAGATGCACGCTTCTTGGCTGAAGGACTCCAATCCGACCCGCGCGGGCAAGGACTTCTACCGCACGTGCGCGGAGGACGTGTGGAGCGTGAGGAAGTTCAGGATCTCCAGCGTGGAGCACCAGGGCGGCGGCGAGCAGGTCTCCATCAAGTACGAGCACGCCGAGACGGGCGCCGCCAAGCCCGAGGTCTTCCACTCGAGGTGGCTCCACGCGATGGCGCCCTTCGTCGGCAGGGCGCTGCACCCCGAGGCGCCCCACGTGCCAGCCATCCGGGAGACCGGGAACCTCATGGACCACCTGATGGACAGCCGCAAGCCTTGGGACGCCAAGGTCGACATGCAAAAGTTCGACTCCAAGCTGCTGGAGACAGACGTTGATGCGCAGGTGGAGTTCTACGACTGCATGATCAAGACGGGCGTCGCCATGATCACTGGGATTGGCAAGCCGGACAGTCTGGAGTTCGAGCTCGGCGGCTTGCCGATGGAGGCTCATGTGAGGAAGATCCTTGGCAAATGCAATCAGCATCCTGTGCGGTCCACGAGGTACTCCTACATCCGGAAAACGGAGAAGCCCCAGTCGGGCGACTACGACCATTCCAACCCTCTGTGCATGCACACCGACCACACTGTGTACCACGGCACCCCGGGCTTCTTCCAGTTCCTCTACCAGGCAGAGGGCGACGTGCGGAGCAAGGTGTGCGACGGCCTCGCCATTGCCGAGTACGTGAAGGAGCACCACCCAGAGGCCTACGAGCTGCTGACCAAGGTCCACATCACGCACAGCTCCCGCAACAATCTGTACACCAGGGAGGGCCAGGCGATCGACCCGACCGACCCCAACAGCAAGGGCGACGCGTTCGAGCTGGTCCACACGCACCCGATCCTCGTCCTCGACGAGAAGGGGCGCCTGGACAAGGTGGTCCAGTCCGAGACCAAGCGCGGCGTCTGCGCGCTGCCCTACTCGGTGTACGAGCCCTTCATGGAGGCGTACGTGCTGTGGTCCCAGTTGGTCGAAGACTCGCGCTTCGTCCACCACTTTGACTGGCCAGAGGGTACCATGGTCGTGACGAACAACTGGCGCGTCCTCCACGGCCGCGCGGCCGTCCCGGCGGGGATGTCGCGCGCGGTGGCCATCGGGTACGTCAACAGGAACACGGTGGAGAACCGGTACCGGCTGCTCAAGCAGTACCAGGCCGAGAAGGCCGACCCGACGCTGGATCACAGGTGGGTGACGCGGGTGCCCAACCAGGTTCTGGAAAAGATGGTGCTCTGAGCCAGCCCCTTTCGGGGAGGCAGCCGAAATCGATGATGATGAGGAGGAGGATGGGAGGTTTTGGTGATTTTGGTGGGGGGGGGGGGGGGGAGCCGGAGGAGCCTACCAACTTGGTGCGACTGCGTCTATAGGGAGCCGCAGTCCCTGACGATGAGGTACCGCTGGGCCCTGCAATGTATGGCAAGGGAATTTCCAGTACCGCGGTGGTGTTTAGTTGCGCTGCAAGAGCCTGTAAAAGGGAAGATATTGGGGCACGACCCCCCTCAGGTGAGCGCGATTTGCACGTCCTTTGGTTTAGACTGTCGCAGACATTCCCCGAGACACGGGAATTGTACCGAGGCGGTACCGGCCTCCCTCCTCTTTCTTTCGCTGGCGCTGGCGGAGGTGGCTCCGCGGCGCCACTCGCCAGAGGAGGCAGTCCGTCCTGGATCCTGGCTTATCTTTCTTCTCTTTCTCCTCCTCCGCCCTCCTTCTGCGTCCCCCCTTCCCCGCCTCCCACCTCTCCCCAGTGGCCTCGCCCGTGCCCTGGCGCTGCCAGGGCGCTGCCAGGCAGCCTCGTGTACAGATTTGCGCCCCCCTGCCGCGCCCGTCCGGGCCCGTCCGTGCGCGGCAGGGCGCCTGGACTGCACGACCTGCAGCGCCGGTCCACGCCCGCCGTTGAGCCCTGCTTTCTCGCCGCAGCCCTGGAGACGCAAAAGGGAGGATTTTGGGGCGCGACCCCCCCCGGCCCAGGTGCTGAGGCCACGCTTTTAGGCTGGCGTGCCGCGGCCGGCAGGCGTGCGCGGGCCTTGGAGCCCGCCGTGCATGTTTTCCGCGCGGCGCCGCTGCTGGAGGCTGGCGAGAGGGAGAGGGGGGGGGGGAGGGAGGGGGGGGGGGTGGGGTGGGGGGGGGGGAGAGAGTGGACTGAGGAAGAGCGAGGAGAGGGACGAGGAGAGAGAGAGAGAGAGAGATAAGCTCATGCTCTCGTGAACATCGTACGCAAGCGCGTGCCTCAGACGAGAGCTTGTGCTTCTGGGCGCTGATGCATCGACCAAATAGGCAAGAGCCAACGGGTGTGGTCGTGCGAAGGCACCCATGGAGCTCCTCGCGCCGCGCGGCAAAAAAACAAAAATAAAAAAAAAAAAAAAACTCTCCTCCTCCTCCTCCTCCTCCTCCTCCTCCTCCTCCTCCTCCTCCTCCTCCTCCTCCTCCTCCTCGTCGGGGCGGATCCTTCCGCGGGGGCCCTGGGGCCCGAGTGGCGAGGCGAAGCAGTCCGATGCGAGAAGATGCGGTGCCGCCGAACCCCATTCCCACCTGGCCATGGAATCTCGGCCCCGACACAGGGCTTGTTTCGATTGCTCCGATTCGAATTCGATTTCGAATTCAACTGATTCCGGTTCTGATTCCGATTCGGCTCGAGGTTCCGATGTGGGCTCTGACTTCTCACTGGAGGCCTACTAGTTTGCCGAATTCCGCCGATTCGAATTCTCCCGACTCGGCTGCCGACTTCCGCCTATCCGATTCATGTCGACCGACGATCCGACCTATCGATTGGATTCTGGGCTCTCCTGCCGCCATCCCCAGCCCCCCAGTTTGGGGGTATACAGGCCATCGAAGCCCGAAGGAAACTGCACATGCCATACATCGACAACATGTTGCATCATGTTTGCTGCGCGTTGGCACCTATACTGCATTGCTCTTTCCCCCGCTTCCCCCCGATGTTAATATTAGGTGCATGGCGAAGAGACCTTGGGCCGCCCGGGGGCTCCCGACAAAATGTTGCCCCAACCGAGCTGTTTCGAGGAGAGGTGGGAAGCAAACGCGGATAGAAGAGGGATGCGCTTTATTGTTCGCGCCCGCGCCCAGTGATGCAACATGTTGCCGATGTGCCGTACTGTCGGCCCTGATTAGTAGTTCGACCCTGCCAAGTCAAGGGTACCCTTGCGACCCGTGTCTCGCAACCCACGCCTCCTACCTTCTTGTGGCCGTGTGGCCCTCGGAAGGATTTTGTGTCCTCTCGCGTGCCCTGTCCAATCGAGTCCGACTGTACTATCCCCATCTGGGGGGGGGTACATCCGGTAGGGGGAAACAAGCAGTGAACACCCCCCGGCCCGCCCCCCAAACTCAAAGTTGGCTCGCGCGGGGGAGACTGCGGTCGAGGTGCAGCTCATCAGACCCACCGCCAGCTTTGAACGCTGGGGGGAGGGGGAGGCGTCCACAGATGAATGTGGCATGAGCGTTCGCGCCAACTATTTTTGTCCGAGGCCTGCCGGCCAGTGGGGCCACGGCCACGCCGGTGGGGCCGGGCCTCGGCGCGCAACACTCTGGGCGCCCGAAGTGGGTACGGAAAGAACGGGTACAATGCCAAACGAAGGATTGCAAACAAACCCAAGATTTGCAAAAAAATCAGGATTGCAAAAAAACCCTTGGTTTTGCAAAAAAAACTTGGGTTGATTTGCAATCCTTGGTTTTGCAAAAAAAAAAAAAAAAAAAAAAAAAAAAACAGGGTTGTTTTGCAATCCTTGGGTTTTTTTTTCCAATCCTGGGTTTTTTTGCAATCCTCAGTTCCTGTTCATTTTGAACAGGACTCGCTGTCCGCGCCGCCGCGGCCTGTGTTTTCATTCGAGGCAGAAGGCCGCCTGCCCAACAGCGGCTGCTGCTGGTTCGGGACAACATGTGCTGTTGGGCATTGTGCCCATTGTTTCCGTGCCCATTTCGGGCGCAACCCATCAGACCCACCGCCAACTTTGAACACGGGGGGGGGGGTGGTGTTCACAGATGAATGCGTGGCATGAGTGTTCGCGCCAACTTCTTTTTGTCCGAGGCCCGTCGGCCAGCGGGGCCACGGCCACGCCGGTGGGGCCGGGCCTCGGCGCGCAACACGGCGGCTCCGCCCAGGCCCTGTCGCCCCGGGGCACGCCGCGCGCGGGCGTCAGCGGCTCCCTGCAGCGGCCGTCGGCGACGCCGCGCGCGGGCGCTGGCGGGCCCCTGCAGCGGCTGGCGGCCGCCACCTCGGCGGCCTGGCCGAGGCAGCCGCCGCCGCCTCGGCGCCGCCGCGCTCGTTTGGTTCGCGACGGCTGGGGAGCGGCGTCAACCCAACATGCTTCTGCCATATGTGCGTCGCCCCCCCAGGGGCGCCGCGCGCACCGAGAAGTCTTACAGCATTCAGGAGGGAAAGAGACACACAGACACAATTCTTGTCGATTCCCAGGGAAATATGGGAAAATATGGGAAGTGGGGGGGAAGACAAAAACCCAGAAAATATTAGGAAATATGGGGAATCTGTTTATTTGTGTGTATTTATTTGTGTGTCCTGGGGCCCCTTCAAGTATACGCGTCGCGGCGGGCGCTCTCTGGCCACACCGCTCGGGAAACGATATACTACAAGATGGGTATACTATGTGTTAGGGTCGGACGCGCGCCTCCGAGGAGGACATATAGTATTAGTATGTCTCTGTGCGTCCCATGGGATCCGGGGGGTCGGGGATCGGGGATCGCAGATTCTAGGCCTCCTAGATGGGGTCGGAGTGGATGGGGTCGGAGGATCGCGCAGCATCGCCGATGCATCGACGATGCGGCTCGATGTGGAGCCCATGTTTCCCCACGCCGACGTCGCCGATGCATCACCACCTCGCCGATGCATCGCCGATGCGTCGCCGATGCATCGGCGATGCATTGGCGGTGCGGCGCGGTCCTTCGACCCCGTCCACTGGGACCCCATCTGGGAGGCCTCTACAGAGAACGGAGGATTGCAAAAAAACGGAGGATTGCAATCCTAGGGTTTTTTTTGCAATCCTAGGGTTTTTTTTTTGCAATCCTTCGTTTTTTTGCAATCCTTGTGTCATTTTCGGCCTCCTGGGGCCCTCGCCAGGCCTCGTGACCGTCCAGGACCGCCCGTGCCCCCTCGCGCCGTGGCGAGAGTCACGACGGGCGGTGTGGTCCTCTTGTCGGCCTCGGGGAGCCCTCGTTGGGCCCTGGGAGCGTCGAAAAGCGGCTCGGGACGAGGAGCACGTCCCGTGGAGTTGGTCGAGACCTCTTCAGGGGCAACGAAAGGGGGGGATAGGCATAGGCATAGGGGGGGACGCATCGACCTCCAATCGCCCATTGATCGCCGACAGGGGCCCGATAGCCCCAACCTGCCCAGGAAGGTGCGGACTCACGATCGGAGGCCTATCGCCGATCTATCGGCGATGTATCACCGATTCCAGGTCGATGCACCCCCCCCCCTATGCCAGTCCCCCCCTATCGTTGCCCCTCACCTCTGGGGGCCGACGTTATCAACAAGAACATGATGTCGGGAGTCTGGGATGGGAGTTGGTCGGGGGTTGTCGAGGGTCAAGGATCGGGCATGCAGGCGTCGGGATCGGGGATCGGGGACTGACGTCCTCGGACCCAGGATCCAGAATCGGGGGTCGAGGATGGGGGGGGGGGGTCGGAGATCGAGGATGGCGAGGGTCATCGGGGATTGAGGATCCTGGATCAGGCATCGAGGGTCGAGAGTCGGGGCCAGGGGGTCGATGCTCGGGAACCGATGCTCGGGGATCGAGGGTCGGAGAACGAGGGTCGAAGGCTCGCCGCTCGGCGGATCGGCCACACGCAGGAGGGGGGGGCAGTGGGGGGGGGGGGAAGGCGTCTTGGAAGCACCCCTGCTTCTCAGAAGGCGGGGGCCCTCTCTGCTGACGCAGGGCCGGCGCCGTCCGTTCTCCAGTTCTCCTGCTTGGGCTCTCTGGCTTGGGGTGGCGTGCTCGCGGCTGCTGCTGCTGGTCGCTGCTGCTGCTGCTGCTGCTGCTGCTGCTGCTGCTGCTCGTGCTGCTGGTCGCTGCTGCTGCTGCTGCTGCTGCTGCTGCTGCTGCTGCTGCTGCTGCTGCTGCTGCTGCTGCTCGCTGTTGCTGCTGCTGGTGCGTCTTGCTGCTTGCTGCTGCTGCTGCTGCTGCTGCTGCTGCTGCTGCTGCTGCGCTCGGCGAACAAAAACACGTCCTCCTTTTTCCGGTTCTTCTGTCCTCCTCCTCCTCCGATTGACCGCGCCTTCGTTTCCCTCTCCCCCCATTTCCTCCTCGAGACCGAGGCGACCCTTGACCTGCTGCAGGAAGCCCCGAAGCTTTCCGACTGGCATCTTAGCGATAACGCGGTCCTCTCGCTCACTTTGAAGCCACGCGGCGGCGCCCCGAAAGACCAGCAGGCCATCCCGCCGTTTATATTTAAGCATCCCAGGTTTCGCGAGGTGCTGAACAATTGCTTGGCTGGCTGCGATCTTGACTCCCTCTCTCCCCCCGCTGCCTGGTCCTCCCTCAAGGATAACATGATCGTGGCCGCCACAGTTGTCCGTCGCGAGGTCCAGCGCTTCCCAGACGGGGTAGGAGGGGATCACACCATCGAGGCAAGGTGCATGGCACTCCGTTCAATCGCACGTGCCATTTGGCGACAGGACCTTCAAGCCGCTACCAGGATCCAGGCAGACTCTGAGTATGGTAGGCGGTTTCTCCTGTTGGTAGGCCCTCGAGTTTTGCTCCAGGACGAGGATGGTTTTAAGAATGAGGTCGTCGCCCAGAATACTGCTCGCCACCACCAGCTCCAGGAACAGGCCGCGGCTAGGGCCCGGGCCAATCCTGGAGAAATACAGCATTGGGGGAAAGTCCAGGAGACTTCCAGTAGGAGAGCGTTGCTTTGGCGGCCTCGTCAGCGACGTCTTGTTCTTCGAGGCATTCGGATCTCTCAGACAGGCCACCAAAGCGACGTAGTCAGGGAGCCAGGTCCGATAGCGGACACTCTCAAGGAGTATTGGCAACCCGTTTTTTCGGAGCAGCCCAGACCGGTGTAAGAGATCGAATATTTTCTTGACGAGCACATGCCTGACACTCCGGCCTTTGAGTTTCACGTTCCCACCTCTGCTGAGATGGCCAAGTGTTTAAAACGGTCACGTGACTCTGCGCCTGGCCCGGACCGACTCACATATGCAGCGTGGAAGAGCCATCCCACATGTCTTGCTGTACTCTACCGCCTCCTCCTCCTCTACCTCATAGGCGGCAACCCCGCCCCTCCCGGCCTCAACCACAGTCTCTTTGCATTTATCCCGAAGGGGGAGGACCCCAGGGATGTCACAGACTGCGTCCGAGCTCCAGGTGTCCTCAGACCTCTGACCCTCAAGAATTCGGACAGCAAGCTCCTCGCGTCTGTGCTGAATCACCAGCTGCAGTATTGCGTACCCGGCCGGACGCACGTGGTCCAACAGGGATTTGTCAAAGGACGTAATCAAGCCTATAATGTGATTCGCATGGACACGGCTGCTCGCCGTGCCAGCGTAGTCAACGCCGACACCGATCCACTCTTTTTAAGCTTCGATATCAAGGCGGCGTTTCCCAGCATGAGCCAAACCTGGCTCCGACTTGTGCTGGAGAGGTGCCGCCTGCCCCAGAGCTTCTTGTGGGCGATCGCTGCTCTGGCAGCCGACTCGCTGGCGCAGATGTTGGTCGGATCTGTGGTCGTGCCCATGTTTTTGATCACTGCCGGCGTTCCCCAGGGGTGCCCCCTCTCTGGCTCCCTCTGGCCCTCGGGTTTGACCCCGTCCTCCGTCACCTCGCCCTCCCCTTCCCCTCCAGAGAGCAAGCCACCCTGGGGGCGTGCGCCGACGATGTGGGAGTTGTGCTCAATCAGATATCGATGTTGCCACTGTTGTATGCGACCTTTCAGTTCGCTCAACGTCTCGCTGGGCTAGCCCTTCAGCCGGCGAAGTGCGTTGCCGTGCCGCTTGCGGTCGCCTGCACAGCACTTGAATGCGCCCGCATCGCCAGTCAGATAGCTCAATTGGTGCCGGAGTGGGCGGGCTTCCACATCGCGAGTTGGGCCAAATACTTAGGGGTCCTCATCGGCCCTGGGGCCGATCTCCGCGAGCAGTGGAAGGAGGCTGGCCAAAAGTGGTGGGCACGGTCACGAGCGATTGCCTTGACTCGAGCCCCGAGCGAGGCTGCCATACGCCTGTATGAGTGCACGTGCTTATCAGTCTTAGGGTATCTTTCACAGTTTTTCCCGCTTTGCCAGGAAATCACACGCAAGGAATATGTTGCCCTCCGCAAGCTCCTCCGTCTTCCACCCAGCTCTTTCTCTCTGCACGATTTCTTTGGGTTGAGAAGCTGGCTCCGCTCCTCCACCCCTACCAGCGTGCAGGTGTATGCACTGGGATGCGCATGGCGCGCGTCCACGCACACTCTGACTAATTGGGCGGGGGATTTTGAGTGGTGGTGGGACGGGTCGGACGTGCACGGGTTTCACATGAGAGTGCGGCAGGGTCTCCTCTCAGCGGACTGTTGGGCCGAAGGTTCAGGAATCCTGCAGCACTATAGAAAGTTCGTCCGCGGCTGCCGCGGCCTCCCTTTTCCTGCGAGTCGCATTCAAGAGGTGATCGCTGCAGCCAGCCCCAGAGCTGAAGGCACCCGGATGGAAGAAGGGGTGGGGCCTCGTCGTCTGCGTCGTGGGAGTGGGGGGAAACGGCCTCAGGGTGCCTTCATCGCTAAACTAACTAGTTTAATGTACCCGGATCGTTTCCACGAGCTTCTGTCCAGAAGACTCCGCACTTGGTTCCCAAATTTGGACCCTCTGCCCGAGGACGAGATCAAAGCCAGGTGGCTATGTCTCCGGCAGGTTTTGGCGAGATCGCAGCCCAGTAAAGTTTGGTCTCATCTTAAGACTCTGGCTGGAGGGTGGATCACCAGCCACAGAGTCAATATTCGCACCCCTTTACAGTGCCGATTTGGCTGCCCCGACTGCCCTGATTCGTTCCTCCACTACCTCTCTTGCCCCCGCCTGCTTCACCTCATCGCGCTGCCCCGTCTGCATATCCCTACCGCTCCTCCGTTCCTTTGGCTTGGCCTGGGATCCGAGGAGGAATACCAAGACACCGATCTCACGGTGGCCCTTGCACATGACTTAGCGAGTCTCGCTTACAGCATATTCCATAAACTTCGTGCCGAGCTAGCTGACACCCCACAGCGGCTCGGCAGCTATGCGCAACACCTTTCAATCCGCCATGCGGCGCTCACGAGGCAGTAACCCAGGGCTCGCCTATGGACGTGCGCTCCTCCTCCTCCTCATCCTCCTCCTCCTCCTCCTCTCTCCTCCTCCTCCTCCTCCTCCCCCCCCCTCCTCCTCTCCTCCTCCTCCTCCTCCTCCTCCTCCTCCTCCTCCTCCTCCTCCTCCTCCTCCTCCTCCTCCTCCTCCTCCTCCTCCTCTCGCGTCCCCCCCCCCCCGTCTGGACAGGGAGGAGAGGAGGGAGCGCCTCCGGACGCTTCCCCGGGCCTCCGCGGGGGCATCGTTCCGTCCCGCGGGCGCGGGGGGTCCCACCCTCCCCTCGTCCCGCCCCTCGTTTCCTCCTCTCGCCCCGGCGCTCGACGCTAAGACGGGAGCAACATCATGAGAACGACTTTTGCTCCATCCGTGAAGCTAGCGCAAACGTTCAAACATCATGTGCGTAGCTTTATGGCGAGAGTACCATGTTGGAGACGACCTGTGCTCCATTTTTGAACTAATGCAGACTTCTAAGACGACTGTGCGCGGCGTTGGGGCGAGAGGTACAGGTACACTTTGAAAACAAGCTATGATCGATCTGCGAAACTGCTGCCCACTGTGAACACGTATGCGCTCGACGCTAAGTTGAAGCAACATCCTGAAAATGACCTGTGCTCCTTTGAAGCTGTCGCGAACGTTTCAGACGAAGGTGCGCGACGCTAAGGCGAGAGTTACAGCTTGAACACGACCGTTGCTCCATCCGTCCGTGAAACGGGGCAGACTTGGAAGACGCAGGAGCCTGGCGCTACAACGAGAACCACACTTAAGACAACGACGTGTGCTCAGAAATTTATACGACGGTTGCGCGCGGCGCGAAAGCGAGAACCATACATTACAGACCAACCTACACCGTCCATGTAGCTGTTGCAGCTTTCAAGTGTAATGGTCAGCGGAGCGGAAGTCTCAGGCGAAACACCAGGGCCCGCCCTATTGACACGCCTGGAGATGCGACAGGGAGGAGTCATAAGATACTCAAGAGCAGGGAGTGAGGGAGGGAGGGAGGAGGATGAGGATGAGGAGGAGCTAGATGTATATCATTTCATGTCCGTGCAACGTGTCCAGAAAGAGCAGGAGGAGGAGGAGAAGGAGGAGGGGGATGGAGGAACAGAAGGAGGAGGAAGACGAGAACGACGGCGACGATGATGAGGACCAAAAAGAAACAGGGGAGGAGGCAATGGAGGTCGGGAGGCAGGAGGAGGGAGGTACAGGGAGGCACGGAGGTAGGGAGGGAGGGAGAAGCACGACGGACGACGAGGACGACGGACGACGAGCGGGACGACCAGGACGACGACCAGGACGACGACGACGACGACGACGACGACGACGACGACGACGACGACGCGGGTGTCCTGCCTGTGGCGCCGGCCGCGCGCAGGCCGCGGACCGGCCGGCGAGAGCAGCAGGCGGACCCGGAAGGAGAGCGGCCAGCGCCGCCCGCGCCGCGCCGCCCCCCCGCGCTTTTCGTGGCAGCTGGGCGCGCGTCCCTCGGCGGGAGGCGCGCTCGGTCGGCTCTCCGGTCGAGCGCTCGTGCCCGCCGTCGTGCGCCCCCGCCTCGCGCTCCCCCATCCCTCCCCGGCGTGGCCCGCGTCCTGTGCCTCGGAGCGGCGGCTCTCGAGGGGGAGGAGGAGGAGAGGAGGAGGAGGAGGAGGAGGAGGAGGAGGAGGAGGAGGAGGAGAAGGAGGAGAAAGAGAAAGAGAAAGAGAAAGAGAAAGAGAAAGAGGAGGAGGGGGGGGGGCGACGGGGGGCATGCAGAGGCGCGCGGCCAGATCTGGACGGAGGCTGTTTTTGGGGGGGGGCCTGGCGGTGACCCGGGGTATCGGGCTCGCCCCCCCGGATGACTTCACCCTTGTCGGTTGGGCAGGTCTTCCCCAGGCGCCCGCAGGCACCTCCCAGGTGCTTTCCTGGGCTGCCCGCAGGCACCTCCCAGGTGCTTTCCTGGGCGGCCCGCAGGCACATCGGAAGTGCCTTTCCTGGGCTGCCTACACGCACCTCCCCAGCACTGTTCCCAGGCGCCCGCAGGCACCTCCCAAGTGCCTTTCCTGGGCTGGCATGGTTACCCCTCGGCATTCCCAGACGGCGCCCGCATCGTTGCAGCACGAACAGGGGCATTGTCGCAGCGTCGTCTGCAGCTGCAGGGGCCGCAGCACTGGTGCGCGCGGGCATAGTCGGGGCCGCCCACAGCGCGAAGGTGAGGTCATCGGTTGGCCCCTCTCCCCCCAGATAACCTTGCTTATCGCCGATCCTGAAGAAACAGCCTCATGTGCTTCGTGGGCGCTGATGACGACCACTGCGCGATTCCCCGTGGACGATTGAGCATGGGCCGCCCGTTTGGCCACATCGCCTGAGTATGAAGTCGCCGACGAGGTTGCATGTTGGCCCCATGTGCAATCGGACATCGGTCGAAGGTACAGCCTGAACATCGGTCGAAGAGGGCGGTGCAAGAGATGGCAAAGTCATCGTACATCCTGGAATGTGTGTGTGTGTGTGTGTCGATTTGTTTGTGTCCCCTTGGCCCTCCTTGAAGACCACCTGTCCACGATCTCCGCTTCCGGACACATGGTGCCGTATAGCAGCCCCATAGCTCCGCCCCAGCTGTCCCCCGATCAGGGTGAATCACCACCGTGAACTCACCGCAGGCTCGCTGCGCAAAGGCGGCGCTCCTGCCCCCCACCGCTCATTCCCCCCAGGAGGAGGACCTTTCCAGGACCTGCATACATATGACGGGGAACGGGTCCGGGTGCCCCCGGCTCGGCCCCCCGACCACACATGTGTGGACTTGGCTGCCCGGGGCCCTGCTGGCGCGCCAAAGGCCCTCCAAGATCGCCCGAAGACGGCCCCAGAGTGCCTGAAAACGCGCTTCGAGACCGCCAAAATGGCCCATGACGGCCCCAGGTTGGCCAGAATTGGCGCCGCACTGTCCAAGAGGCCTCTAAGACGCTTTCCAAGAAGCAAAATTCATTCATATATCTAAGGCTTTTGAGGGAGTTCGGCTTTCTTTCTTGTTCTGCTTCCCAACGCTGCCGGGCGGCCCGAGACGCCGCCCAGGACGACCAAATGCAGCCCAAAAGGCTCACAAGAGAGCCCCAAAACCCCCCGAGAGAGAGCTCCAAGACGGCCCCGAGAGGGCTCCAAGACGGCTTAAGAGGCTTCCAAGACGGCCTCAGAGGCCTTCAGCACGACTCCAGAGAGGATCCAGACAGGGAGCCCTCGGCTCCGAGAGGCCCCCAGGAAGCTCCGAGAGGCCCCCAAGAATCCCCCACCAGGCCCGAAGAGGCCTCCACGAGGCCCCCAAAAGAGCCAAATTCACAGGTTCGAAGGATTTGTGCGATCTCGCCTGCTCTGCGTCCCAACGCCCCAAGGCGGCCCGAGACGCCCCCCAAGAGGCTGCCAAGATTGCCCCGACATTGCCCAAGAGGCTCCCCAGAGAGCCCCAAGACGCCCCGAGAGAGCCGCAAGACGGCCCCGAGAGGGCTCCCTGGACGACCGAGGAGGCCGCCAAGGCGGCCGAAGGGGCTCCCTCCACGGCTCCCGAGAGGAGCCGGGCGTGGGCCCCGAACTGAGAATTCGGGCCCTCGGCCCAGAGAGGTCCCCCCGGAAGCCCCGAGGGGCCCCCAAGAAGCCCCCGAGAGGCCTCCAAGAGGCCTCCAAGAGGCCCCCACACCAGGCCTCCACACCAGGCCTCGAGGAGGCCCCCACGAGGCCTCCACGAGGCCTCCCAAAGAGCCAAATGGATTGATGAGTTTCGGGATCGGTTCTGAAGGATTTCCGCGTTCCCGCCTTTCCCGACGCTCCAAGGCGGACCAAGAGGCCCCCAAGATCGCACCAACATTACCCAAGATGCCCCTAAGAGCGCCCCAACCCACTTCAAGAGCCGCCCAAGAGAGCCGCACATGCCTCCAAGGCGGCCCCACAGCGGCCCCAGAAGGACCCTCGCACGGCCAAAGATGGCTCCAAAGATCATCTACGCGGCCCTAAAGCGTCACCAAGAGGGCCCCAGGGGGCTCCGCCACAAGAGGGTTCCAAGAGGACCCCAAGAGCAGTCACGCGAGAGAGAGCTCGCGAGACCGATGCTTGTCTGCTCTTGGGGCCCCCTTGGACGCCCCTGCGGCCTTCTTGGGGCCCTCCCAAGCCGTCTTCGAGGATCCTGAACGCTCACAGAGGGCCCCAAGATGGTCCCAGGAGGGTTTCAAGATGACCCCAAGAGCGGTCACGCAAGTTGTCTCGCGACGCGAGACTGGTGCTAGTGCTGGTGCTGCAGTTGGTGGTGGTGCTGGTGCTGCTGCTGGTGCTGCTACTGCTGCTGCTGCTGCTGCTGCTGCTGCTGCTGCTGCTGCTGCTGCTGCTGCTGCGGCTGGCCGTCGGGGCTCAGGGAGCTCCTGGACAGCTGTAAGCGCCGTAGGGAGCCTCCGGGATGCTTCCAAGAGGCCCCAGAGGCTCCCGAGAGACCCCGAAAACGCTCCCGGAGTCCCCGAGACAGCCCTTAGAGGCCCGAGGCTCCCGAAATGCTTCCAAGAGGCTCCCAGGAGGCCTCCCAAACCCCAGAAGCGTATGTCACGTCTCGGGGCTACATCCTGCACGGCGGTCCACGAGAGGCTTCAAGAGGCCCCCATCTCACGATCCATGTCAGGGCTTCAAGAGGCCCACGAGAAACGCGCCCCGAGGCCCCGTGAGGCACCCAAGACGCCCCGAACTCACGACGCGGCGGTACGCGAGCCTTGGCTTTGAAATGTCGGTGGAGCTCCCTGTGGCGTACGATCCGTGTGAGGAGACAGTCAAAATACACTGGGGGACGTCACGTCATGCGACTCCGCCTGCCGGGGCCGCAAGTGAAACTACATCCCTCTGGGGCACGACCCGTGCGAAGGGTGCGCCGAGATGATGGGCGAGACGCCATGCGAACTTTGTGCCTGGACCCGAAGGTGGAGGTCACGAGGGGGCACGATCCGTGTGAGGGTTGTGCCGAAATTGGCGGGGGACGCTTTGTGACCCTTTCCTTCCTCTGGGCACCCTGGCCGCCCCCGGGACACATGGCTCCACCGCTTCGGGCACGTACACCATTTAGCCCCGGTGGCCTGGGGCCCGTCTTCGGCCCTGAAAACACTCCGAGAGCACCCACGATGGCTTCCAGATGGCCCAAGAGTCCTCCAAGACAACCCGAGAGCGCCCCACGAGCGCTCCATGACCGCTCAATATAGCTTCGAGGCCACGCGGAGCTCCCCAGAAAGCCAGTGATGCGTTTTTGATTGTGACTCCCGCGTGTCCGATTTTGCAGCTCCTGCGCGAGCCAACCAGGCTCCCGAGATTGCCCTCCAAAATCGCCCACAAGACGCCGCAGGTGCCCCAAGGCCCCCCTGAGGCCCCCATGTCGTCGTCCTAACATGACCCCGACATGGACCACAAGACTTCCTATTCGATGTCCCACACAGTGGAGACGATTGACAGCAGGTCTCTGGACTTGCTTCGAGAGCAACTGTTGTTTTGACACTTTCTAAGCAGGTCCAGGGACCTGCTCGAAACAGAAGAAACCTGACCAGAGGGGGAAAACACGCCTTCGGCATGCCCTCTCTGCGCGCCCGATGCTGCTCCTCATCGCTGTCGATGGGAAGCCTTTTGGGGCCTGTTGGAGCATCTTGAAGGGCTGTTGGAGGCCTCGGGGGTCCTTTTGGGGCGGAGGACTCGAAATGTCAGCTCGGGTTCCGCCTCTTAGGCCCCATATTGGGGTCCGCTTGGGCTTTCATAGTGGGTTTCCTGGGCCGTCTGGGGGCCATCTTGAGTGGTCTGGGGGCCCTCTAGCGTTGTCTTGACGCTCTCTTGGGGTCTCCAAGAGGCATCTTGGGCTGTCACAGGCCGTCGGAAATGCTCGAAGGTAACCTCAAAATCCTTCCAGAACCTGCAGAACATCCATGTTTTTGGCCTCCTCAGCTCTCGGGCCGTGTTGAGCCATCTTGAGCACTCTTGGAGCGATGTTGGATCGTTCCTGGGTCCTCTGTGGCCTCTCTTAGGGCGTCTTGGGGGTACCTTAGGCTGCGAGGGAGGCCTCTTGGGCCGTCTTGGGGCCTCCTCAATGCCCCGGGGAGGGTGCATTAAAAGATGCCAGCCGATCTTCCAAAAGTGGCGGGCCTGGGCCCGGGGCCCCGCCTGTTTATACGTAACACATGTACGTCTGGATGCCTGTATGTCTGCATGTCTGTATGTCAGTCTGTCTGTCTGTCTTCTGTCTGGCTGTCTGTCTGTCTGTCTGTGTCTGTCTGTCTGTCTGTCTGTCTGTCTGTCTGTCTGTCTGTCTGTCTGTCTCTCTGTCTCCCTGTATGTACGTATATATGTAGGTATGTGTATATGTATACGCGCCGTCACATAGGTGTATAAGGTGATATAGAAATTCTGTGTGCAAATGTGTGTGTGTGCGTGTGCACGTG